TACTTTTTAATTCTCTCAAGAGCGTAGCGGTCCAGGGGTGATTCTGTGCTCGATGTTCTTCCCAAGATGTTAGGGGCGGCGAACGGCTTCTTGCTCATGGTAGACGAAAAACTCAATGTTACGAGTACAAAGAGGACTACTAGACGTACAATACACGTAAAGATAACGTTACACAAAAGTATAAAAATAATTTTATTAATGCTATTTAGCAATCAACACATTGTTTATTCACAAGAGGATACGTCCGGCTGTTAAGAATTTCGCAAAAGATTAACAGATTAATAATTTTTCAATTTGTCTAAACAGTTAACTGGCCTATATGAATTTGGCTTCGGAGGGACTTAAACTTTTTTCTTATTGGGGATGTTTGCGAAATTCTTGTTAACAAAAAGTTTTAACGAGTACTTAGTTCACCCTCTGAAATTTTTTGCTTGCATGAATATTTTATGGAGATTTAAAAATATTAATTTACTTTCGGATTTGCCGAAATAACATTATTAGATTCCGAAATAAATTTATACATGTTATAAAAACACTTGAAAACTTTATTATTTTTTACTTGTTATAGCAACAGCACGTAACGCTGACGATGCCGGTTCAAGCCCTGCCCGAGTCGAATTTTTTTTTCAATTTATTTTCAAATTTAAAAAAAATATATAAGTTGACTTAATTACTGGCTGAGAAATTATTTTCACTACAGCCCGACGTTTAGACATGTTCCCATGCATACTTCTGTATGTTGCTCTGCAATTTTGCTCGTACTTATTTTGTAGGCGTATTTACTTAACCAATATAAGACACTAAACGCTAACAATACAATATAGCAATTCAACATCTACTAGTTACATAAAACAATATTAAAGATATCTTTAAAATTTGATTCAATTTAAATTTATAATCCTACTTTAATTCAGTCGAAGGTCTAAATTAAAATAAAAAAAGCATTTCAAATATTAAAATCTAAATCTGTCAAACTATTGACAGATTTAGATCTCAAATGCCTTTAAATAACAACCTTTGAATTAATATGTAATTCACACTCTTCAGAAACGTACAATTTTTTTCCTTTGAAAAAGAGTTAGCTCACAATGTAGATCTGAAATATAAATAAAGGAAAATCCATGAATGAAATAATTTCAGGCTGAGAAAATACGGCACCTTATAATATTCGAAGGAGCGCGCGATTTATAACATTTTTTCTTAATATAAAAAGTCGTAAATATTTTCGCCAAACACCTTACGCGAAACATTCGACATCGAGTCTCGCGCCGCATGTTTTGCATAAAATAAAGCCACCTAAGGGCTGACATAAAGATAATAAATATGTCAGAAATATCAGCCATCTCTGGCGATACACGCTTATTTCCCCAGAGGAGGTGCCCGCAGTAATTTACATAAAGTACCTAATGTCACACTGGTCATATCATAACACCACTGTTTACAACCCTGCGTTCTATGAAAAATCACGGTTTTTTTCGTTACGGGTTGCTATTACAGCTCCATCCTTATATTGTTGATGGGCTAAACGGGAACGGTCTTGTTGGTCTAATGGTAGCGACGTTTTGCTAGTAATCCGTTGATCGTGGATTCGATTCTCACCGCGTCCAGCAACCAGCGCTGCTGAGTGTGACAAGTATTAAGCAGCACAGCTGAGACTCGATTGCCGTTCTTATGCAACGTTTTCCTACTTATTAGTTTAATTTACTGTATGTGTTAAAAGGGGAAATAAAAAAGATTGAATTTGAATATCGAAATTCCATCCGGGTCAGAAACCACCGACCACAGATAAAAAAGGCGTAAAGTTTAACCACGTTTCAGTCTGTGAATTTCCAAATATCCAAAGCCTAAATAGGTCGATAGCCCATCTTGTTGAGATGTTATATGGCTGGGATAATTCACCTACCCTCAAGTTAACCAATCTTTGTCTATCCCTATCAACTATATATATAGTTTATGCTGGTAACTTAAGTGGTTAGAGCAGCAGCACATATTCATGTGGATGCCGGTTCAAGTCCCGCTCGCGTCATATGATTATGAAAAAAATGTGATCAAGCGACGTAGTACATAGATGACATTATATATATTACACAATATTTCACATTACTGAATATCAAGATTAATATTTCTTAAGCTATACCTATACACTGTCGACGAGGTACGATAAATCCGAGTTATTAGGTAGGTAGACGATTAGGAAGCTCGTCGTAAATTATTTAAATAGCTTTCTTTAATATCGCGAACGCAATACCGCTGCGAAACAGAAGAGAAAAATACATTTAAGTGAATGTTTATCGAAATTACTTTAAGACGAAACTGAGCAAAACACAATTTTACGATTCATAAATTCTCCGAATGCAACTTTCAGCGCAGCTCAGTTACAATTTTACTGTTTGTTTGTAACATTTTTGGTAAGGCTGTGTCCACACTGGCGTCTTACTTCTTTTTATTTAAAATAAACGTAATTAAGTAAATATTAATGTCACGTAAAAATACAAATTTAAATAAAACTATAATTAAATAAATAATATGTGGTTTATAGAAGCCCATGTCGTCCGAAAACTGCAAGGTAACAGATATAAGATCAGTTATAAGAGCTACTACTATTATCTCGAGTAAATAGCTGAATAGTTATTTTTGAATCTACATGTAATATCATACTATGCAGTGCAAAATTACTATTTTACATCAATTGCTTAAAGAACTTCAATGATGACGCGCGCTGTGTATTGCCCGTTCAAAACCCGCCCGCTTCGCCAGTTTTTTTTATAGAATAGAATTGTCATTAAACTTATTCTATTCCATTAACAATTAACAACCCGACTTATTTAATATTTATGAAATATTAAACATTTCTATCAATATTAATTCATTCATTTTAAGCAGCTTTTTAGATTAGGCCGCTTCAAATATTAACGTTACAATAATAATCAAAAGTTATTGAAGCATAAATTGACTAGCCGCTTATATTTTAAACGTCTACATCAAAATTTTGATTGATATTAAACGTGATTAATAGTCACTTTGTTTATTAGATAATTTTAAAATCTTCTAAGGAACTAAGTAACTATTAAACTAACAAGTAAGTGAAATTGCATTGCGCGGTAGGTGCAATCAAATTTGAAAAAATTCGACGATTACGAGTAGGACTCGGTAGCTCAATTGATCTACCGATTCCTACTCGTCACCAATTGGTTAGAGCACCAACACGGAACGTTGTGGTTTCCGGTTCAAGTCCTGGCTGCGTCGTAATTTTTTTCAATTTATAATCGATTTTTAACTACTAATCACACAAATTGTCTTAACACACGCCTATTTGTTTATTTTCTTATCTACACATCAAATTTATTTTCTATCAATTATTTTAAAACATTAATTATTATATTTGGACAATACCTTAAGATACTATAGAAATCACGTCAGTTAAACGCGTTGTATTTGATTTCTCACGTAGAAAACTTAGTCACCGCAAGTGTAGTACTAGCGTATGAATTAGGAATATTTATCCGAAAAAGTGTGCCATATGAATAATACTGTGAATATTTTAGTTTTTGCTTTAAACTTTGGATTATATTAGATTTTATTTGATGGTTGATTCATTCTTATTATTGTATTATAGCATTAATTGAGCTAGTAACCGCACTCCGTTATAACTGAGATAATTTTGTACATAATAATTATTATATTAGATTAGGTTTTATTTAATTTATTATATATTCTACATATATTTTTAATGTATCTTTGATAAAATCGATTTTTATTTGATCGAGGATGACAGACAGGCATAGGGTGCACTTAGGTGAAATACACACACCATCTCATCCTCACATCGTCATCACCACAACGTCGACCTATATTGGCTTTCTTCCGGCTTTTTTATCTGTTGCCAATGGTTTATGTCCCAGAAATAATTCCGATATTCTTACCATCCATTTCATATCCAGATTTCCAGACGAGGTCCAACATATTTCAAAATTCATTAGACACGTGTTGAATCCGGTGGGGTTCGAACCTACGATTCGTTGATTATATGCTATATATACTATGCATATATATGCTACCATTAGATTGAGCACGTCAATCAACTCAACACAATATTGTTGGTATCTACAGTCGTAAATTTTACGTATAACGCCTATAGCCTACTCACACACATAGCGCATTTATAAACGTACTTTTTACCTATTTTGGTAATTCAATGATTTACGATGTTTGCCCGCTGCTACAGTTGTAAATCAAGTGGAGTTTCCTTGGAAAATCATTTCCTAAACCCTTATTTTGTTGACGGGGGCTCCATTAATTGCTGAAAGTTCCGACTTTGTATGGAGTTTCTCGTGTTTGTTTACTTATTTAATAATGCAACTGTGTTCCTTTGTTGAAATATCGCATGTTTTTTTCACTACCTAGTAGTTTGTTTGAGTATTGTCTGTAGTAGCAAGTTATACATATTAAATAACATACTTACGGGTTTTCACCAATTCACCATTTTCTGACACAGCTGCTATACAGCTTCCAAACGTCAAAGCTTCGATATAAAAATATATTTTTAAAAGTTTTTTTTATTTGTTGTATCTTAAAATTGTTCAAATGTCATAAAACCCTTTTCACGTTTCATGTGACGACGTCATAGTTTTACAATAGACCAATGTTAGTTCACCATTTTGGCCAATCTTATCTCGAAAAAGTGTACGAATATGTATGAACGCATTTAAAAAATCATTTCAACTTGAATCTATAAAAGTTGAATTTCACTTAAATAAAACCGAAAATCAACAAACAAAATAACAGTTAGTATGTATACGGTCCCGAAAATGTTAATTAATATAATTTCTTGTGGCAGCGCAACGAGTTTGCGGTCAAACCGTAAAATATCTCTCAACAGTCAGCAGTGGTGGATCGATCTCGAAGCAGATTGCGCGTATTTCGGTGACTCACGCGCAGCTAACGTAAAAAAGATCGATACTCGAATAAAAGTTGACATGTGCTAAATATTTTGTATAAAAATGTCGAATGTACCGTTAGTGCGTCGCGCGATTGTTGGGGCGTCTTTAGCCCATAACCCACCGAACGAAAATTCAAATAACCCCGTACTGCAAACGATACAAGAAGACCAGTGGACTCCGGCAGCTTTGGAAAGGGCTGGGTCTACCCTGAAAGCTCTCAATCGGATGGCCAAAAGACCACCAGTGCACATTTTGTTTGAAGATGTTTGCTTTACCGTCAGTTCCAATAAAGGTATGTTTTGAAAAATGCATCTACCTTCATATTAATTTAAAATTACGGTTTTTCATAATATTTATTTCCAATATCGTTGAAAAACATATACTCTAATGAATTCAGAAACTAAATGTAAATGAAAAAAAAAATATTGAAAAAAAGAATTTTAAAACTTGGATTTTTATAAGTTACCATAAAAAAATTATTTTTGTGTACTTTTACTTATAGTACTAAAATAACGTGAATGCCATAGTTAATATTTGAGCTTAACAATTTATCACTATATGCATATTGATCAAAGTTATTTGAGTTTTAGAATATTCCCGCTAAGTCATAAAGAAGTTAGCCTTAATATTTATTGGAGACAGAAAGTAAAATAACTGTTAATGAATTAAACATTAAGATAAATTATAGTATGCTCTGAACATAAACTAAAAGTTTTAATTCGAAATATATTCGTTTACGATGCAATGGTTCGTGATTATAAATTACAAATAAGTTCACTAATACATTTCGCTTTTTAAACCGTTAAAAGTGTTTCATTTAAATGTGTTCTACACGCGTTCACTACAGAGAACACTCAGTTAATCGTGTTTTGTAATTATTTATTATTTAATATCTGGAAAGTGAAAGTAAAGTGAAACAAGCTCAGTAAACAAAGATTCGCAACGCGAAAGTTGCACTGCGTTCTCGTTGATAAAATATACAGCAACGCTAAGTATATATTAATATAGTCGCTGTGCCTGCGACTATGGCCGCGTGCAATAGTCATATTGGGCATCATATTATATTTGTTCGTAAAACAATAAGAAAAAAAAAAAAAAAAAAAAAAAAATTTTTTTGGGGGGGAAATAAAAAAGGCATTTTTAAGGGCCCGTTTTTAAAATAAAAAAGTGCCATCATGTGCAAAAATATGGAAAAAATAAAAAGTAAAAGAGGTTGTTTGCAAACTATAGCTGTTACAGACAGAAGATAGTAATTTTCTATCAATTTTTAAATTCATTTAAATAGGCACGTTTTTTCTTACAAATTTTTGGGGTATCTTTATCTTGGTTATCGCAGCGCACAACAACCCTTAAATATTTTCCTCGATTTCTTCCCATTTCCCTTTGTACCTTATCTCCTATTAGTGTTAGCCTATGTTTTATAGCCTAAAACCTTCCTCGATAAATGGTCCAAACAACACAAAAATCATTTTTCAATTTGAATCACCAGTTCCTGAGATAACGCGTACAAACAAACTGTCAAACTCTTCAGTTTATTATATTAATATAGATTTAGCGTTGAGTTTAGCGCTAGATTATCGTATCCTTATCTAGGTAATTAGTCCAATAGTAGCAATCGACTGGATGTGAGTTTGATTCTCACGTGTTTCTTAGTAGACTTCTTGAAAATTGGGATATCAAATTGGCGTTATTAGTAAAAAAATGTCGACAATCCACCTTGTTTAATGTTATTTATTATTTTACTTTTCATGTGAACCCCCGTGCTTATCTGTTCACCTCTATTCAAAAATAAATCCCGGGTTCAAAGAATTGCTGTAGAAAAAGGCGCAGATAAAGAAAAAATTTACAAGGGCATTGCAGCCTGCCTGTAAATAAAATTTATTGTCGAAATAGTTGAAAAGCGTCTTGCTCAACGCCAACACATAAGATTAGGGTTTCACACGCGTATAGTGCACATATATGTATTTATATGGCTCTTGCCAGCGCATAATAAACTACATGTTCGATACCTTTATCAGCAATATAATGAATGGCCAGCCGTATGACACCAATCAAAAATAAAAAACAAATAAAATTGACAAAACTCTTTTCGCGAGAGGTCTATTTTATTTAACATTTATTTGTATCAAGTTGGTAGCTGGGCAAATTTTCATTTTAGAAAAATATTAGGTGTAAAAATTTTAATAAAAGATTGTTAATGGTTGAAATGCTGCGAGGGTACGATTGCAAAGCATCAAAAACGTCGAATTCTAGTTAAAAAAGTCAAACATTAGTTATTAATATATTTCGCGTTTTGAACCGTTAAAAGTGTTTTACTTAAATGTGTACCTACTCCTCATATAAACTAGACACATTAACAAGACGTACATATGATAGATAAAATTAAATGTCGTAGGTAGTTTCATCAAATTATTACAATACTTGAAAAGTTTACATATACAAGTAATATCTGCGAGAGTTAAAAAGCTTTCCATACAAACAGTCGTTTGTTTAAACATTTTTTCCACTCGTCTTTGACCTCTAAAAAAATCGCCAACAACAATTTACATATGTTTCGACATAACTAGTTAGTATAAATTGCAAAATTAGGTATCGGAATATTTCTACCTTATATTAATTTGAATAAGCGACGTTAAACGTATCTAGCAAAAAAAGATATTTAGTACTTGTTTGCCCGATTTATTGGACCTCGAGTTATTAAAAATACATCCGTTCCCGCTGACAATATGTCCTTATTTTAATTATTTCTTATTTAAGTTAATATGCTTAAATTATGATTTGATGGCTAAATTGTAAAACGTGTTTTCTTTCTAAGCTCATTGGGCCGATCTTAGGTTTAAATCCCGGATTAAACATAAAAGTCTTAGATAAAACCCTTTAACGGGTTAAAACGCGATATATTAGTAAAACTTATTCGAAATTGATTTTTAACTTCGGCCCGACGTTTCTCCCTGACCACGGCTAGCTAACGAATATATAGCGTTTTAAACCGTTAAAGTTTTATTTAAATGTGTACTACTCGCGTAAACTATAGACAGTATATAATAGTTTTAATTTAGGCTACGGACGTCTAAAGGCCGAATTTTCTGTCATCAATCACAAAGGTGTGTATTCAAAGCAGACAAACAGGATTCTATTTTGTAATAAGAGATTTGGTCAAAATGCTAATATTTTTTTAATCAAAGCGCCTAAATTGTTACATGATATAGAAACGATAAAACCTGAGCTTTGCAAGGTCGCTAAAACTTATATTATTATTTATATTACATTAATTTTAAGCTTGCCAAGAATAATATGTATTAAAAGTTTAAGATTTTAACAGTCAGCTTTGATATTTTAACGTCGTCCTTATATCCTTATTGCAAACCTTTAACAAAATCATCTTAAATTAAATACTATCTATAGTAACTAATATATCGCGTTTTAAACCGTTAAAGTGTTTTATTTAAATTCATATTAAATTACTTAAATCGTTAAAAAGAAGTAATTTAATATTTGATTGACAGACTTTTAATTAAAAAAAACATTAACTTTAGGTAATTAACACAAAAGTCGAGTAATGTATTAGAAATAAATTATAGTATTGACTATTTTGAATTGGAATCCCGTTTCTCCTCGTAGGACATGGGGCGGACATATTTTTGTGTTCGTTTCACTGATCCGTTTTTTAACAGGCAAGTAGTTGATCAGACTGAAGATGTGACTTGCCCGACCATAACGATTTTTTTTGGTCCCGTTGGAGGGCGGTTCGAACCCAGGACCTCTCGCGCTTTACGCAATGTTAGGCAATACGTTTAACCATTTGTCTACAGAGGCGGTCACAAATAAACTATAGAAATCATATACTCTTCTAACTTCGTTGTAAGACTAAACTAAGAGGGCGTGAGTTTGATGCCGAACGAATTCCAACATTAATTTTTTAGAAAATAACAGGTACAGAATATAACCATTATATGTATATTTTTTGTTATTAAATCTTTTAATTATGTCTACTTAATAAATATTAAGAATGGTGTTAGGATTTATGTTCGTAATGTCGAGAGCTTGATTGCTTTTCCCCCATTTTTTTGTAAATATTTAATAAAACACTTCTAACGGTATAAAACGTGAAATATATTAGTTGACTATAGACAATACTTAACTTTTGACATTCTGGTAAGAAAAGAAAAACGGAGTAACCGACATTTTTGATAATTAAAAAATTCACGGCAAGAGTTAACTAATATGTATTTAGATCCTAGGCCCAGCTTTAGGACGTGTTACAGGTTTAATTAAATAATATGTAGATCATTCTAACTGTCTTAAAACCTACCTTTAGTTTCAGTTGTCAATGGCCCTTAGCAACATATAAACGGTTGAACCCTTGCGTGACTCTCATCCACTATTTGAAGCACAATAAGAAAGGGTCCACTTCATAAAAGTAATGAATAAAGTTTTCGAACTCGTGCTTCGGCTTATAAGTGTTTAAGTTTTATTATTTTTATTTATAAGTCAAGCTCAAATAACAGTCAAATAGAGACGGACACACGAATATGTCTGCTTCATGTTCTTTCTGGGAATTGATAGATAGCTTGTTTCTACACTTGAACGGCTCGACTGTTTTTAATAAAATTTTACGTGTACTTCATAACTACTAACATATTATAATCTTAAATCATTATTAATTGACTATGACAAAAAAGGTAACTACTAAGTTAGTCACGACTAGAACAGAAAGGCAAAGCTTACAAAAAAAAAATAGTTTCTTTATTTTATAGAACAGACAATAGGTTACGTCGGGCCGAAGTTAAAAATCATTTTCAAATATGTTTAACTAATAAATCGCGTTTTAAACCGTTAAAGTGTTTTATTTAAATAAATGTGTACTAAATACTGTTTATAGTTTACGCGAGTAGTACACATTTAAATAAAACACTTTAACGGTTTAAAACGCGATATATTAGTAAAACTTATTTGAAAATGATCTATTCATTCAAATAAGTATAGTAGGGTCAATTTGACTCGTAATAATGACCAGTTCAATTACTCGTGTGAAGACGAAGGCCGGTTTTAATTAAAATGACTTTCTTTTGTTTAATGCCTCACCTTCCGCATGTGTAAACTATATCGACACTTGTCGAACGTTACCTTTCTTTGCTCGCTTTTATTAATGCTTCCGTACGTTTTAAAGTTCAGAGTTCGTTGTTGCCAAATCTCTGTTCTCCTAAAAAAGCCCTTTTTAGGATAGAGGTAGCCATATAAAATCTAACAAGCTGCGCGGTCGACTTATTTTGGCTTTAGATATTTGGAAATCAACAGACTGA